GTTTGCAACAAAATAAGTCATTCTACATGATTTTACGCGGAATTATTTTTACTCATTCATAAACATTATGCATCTCCGCCAACAGAGGGCCGCGACAGATATGCGCAAACTCGTAAATAAGAATCACTTGCGAAAATGTATAAGCAGCGCAGTATTTCGCATGTGAAGTGAGCTCTCAAAGTTGCGCTTTAATATTAAAGTAACCAATGCTGCAATGGAATTCTAATTCCATCATGACAGCAACGTGATAGTATCTTGAATTCATGACAAATGAGTTTAAAATACCATCATATTACTATAAATAGTGTAAATGTACGAAACTATGCTTAGGGTATAGTTTCGTATAAGAAGTAATCTTTGTGACATAGAAGTAGAATTCTATGCAAACTATTTGTATGGTTCATTTGCGTACTTAAGTGTGGTTTTTATCATAGTTAAGCATACTTTTGAGCATAATTAGGCGTATTTTCTGCCATACTTTGGCATTGTCTGGCGTACAAAGGCATGAATTGACTTACTTTGGCATAACAGAAGAATTCTACGCCAAACTACTTCGATGTTTCAAACCTCGTATTTAGGAATAGTTTTTGGCATAATTAAGAATAGTTTTTGGCGTACTTTGACACAGAAATTTTTCTGCCAAGAAAGAGACGGGGAAGTTTTAGAGAAAAATGCTTGCAAACTGAGCACACCATTATCCCTTCTCTTTAGCAATTATGCATTTTTATTTCATGTACTTTTGATAATTATGCATTTTTGTTGCGATCCAATTTTTATTTAAATTTGATTCGGTGCAATTTAAGTGCATTTTTGGAATTAAAATGATCTATACATGTTAACGAAAATGAAATTTTTATGCATATTTGATGTTTTGAATTGTAAATGCATTTTTCGATGGATGCAATTAAATGAAATTTCACTGCTATGCAATTATTATGCAATTTTGGTTAGATACATTTTATGAATTTATGTATAACTTTACGAATTTTATTCCTTGTAATTTTTAGCATTTTTTGTATTTTTTTAACATTAAAGTTTCAGGCATTTTTACATTTATGCATTTTTGTTGCGATCCAATTTTCAATTAAATATGGTGCGGTGCATTTTAAGTGCATTTTTGGAATTAAACTGATTTTTACACGTTCATGAAAATTAAATTTTTATAATTATTTGAGGTGTTGAATTGTAAATGCATTTTTCGATGGATGCAATTAAATGAAATTTCACTGCTATTCAATTATTATGCAATTTTGTTAGTTATTTTTTATGAATTTTAATATAATTTTACGAATTTTAATCTTTGTAATTTTTACCATTTTTTGTAATTTTTTAATGTTAAGGTTTCATGCACTTTTGACAATTATTCAGTTCTGTTGCGATTCAATTTTCAATTAAATATGGTGTATTTTAAATGCATTTTTGGAATTAAACCGATCTATACACGTTAACAAAAATGAAATTTGCATATTTGATGTGTTGAATATTAAATGAATTTTTCGATGGATGCAATTAAATGAAATTTCGCAGCTATATAATTATTACGTAATTTTGATTAGATACTTTTTATGAATTTTTATATAACTTTACGAATTTTAATCCTTATAATTTTTAGCATTTTTTGTAATTTTTTAACGTTAATGTTTCATGCACTTTTGACTACAATACATTGTTGTTACGATCCAATTTTTAGTTAAATTTGGTGCGATGCACTTTAAGTGCATTTTTGGAATTAAACTGATTTATTCACGTTCACGAAAATGAAATTTTCATGCATATTTGATGTATTGAATTTTAAGTGCATTTTTCGATGGATACAATTTGATGAAATTTCAAATGCTACTTTGCAAATATTATTCAATTTTCGTAAGAAACTTTTTAAGAACTTTTATATAATTTTACGAATTTTAATCCTTGTTATATTTAGCATTTTTTAACATTAAAGTTTCATGCACTTTTGATAATTATGCATTATTGTTGTGATACAATTTTTAGTTAAATTTGGTGCGGTGCACTTTGAGTGTATTTTTGGAATTAATCTGATTTATACACGTTCATGAAAATGAAATTTTTATGCATATTTGATGTATTGAATTTTAAGTACATTTTTCGATGATTGCAGTTACATGAAATTTCACTACTATGCAATTATTATGCAATTTCATTTAGATACTTTTTAAGAATTTTTATTTAATTTTACGAATTTTGTTCCAATATAATTTTTACGCATTTTGTTGCATTTTTTAACGTTATAATTTTATGGAATTTTGTTGCAATTGATCATTATATATTTTTGTTGTGATCCAATTTGTAATTAAATTTGATATGGATTCTTTTGGTTCATTTTTGTATTAATACTGTTTTATGCACGTTCCTGACATTGAAATTTTTATGCACATTTCATGTACTGAATTTTGGTGTATTTTTTAATGGAAGCAGTTTTCGAAATTTCACTGCTGTGCAATTATTATTCAATTTCGTTTAAATACTGTTGGGATCTGGCGAGCGAAAAATGACAGTGATATTCTAGAGACAAGCGATCGTATATTCTCCGACAGTACAAGAGTTGCGTGATTAACTAAATATGTAATAAGATGGCGAAATTGATCGGCGGCATTAGAATAAATACACATGGGTTATATATGGTTTCCGCCATGGTTTCTGGGTATATTCATGAATCGTTCAGCGTTGCCATTTCAAATTATATAGGTCTATTAGCTTCGTATGTCTGGCTTTGTTAAGACCCTTATTAAGTAAGTCCGCGGGCATGTCCTCTGTGAGCAGATAATCAATCTTTTGTAGTTTTTCTTTTAGGGCGTCCCGAATGAAATGATGTAAGTAGATGTGCTTGCTCCTGGAGGAAAAGCTTTATTCTGTGATAGTTTTAAAGCTCCCATGTTGTCATTCAATACGGTGACGTCTGCAAGGCGTTCAAGATCTAATTCCATCAAGGAACTCTTCAAATAAATGCATTCCTCGGTCGTTGCCATATACTCGACCTCAGTCGATGAGAGGGCCATTGTACACTGCTTCCTGCATTCCCATGAAATAGGTTCCTTACCGATCATAAATGCGTAGCCTATGTAGGATCTGGATCGTCCGGACAATTGCCCCAGTCTGCATCTGCAAATCCCTTCAAAGGTTTGGCGATACATGAGTAAGTTAAGCCGAAATTGACTGTCTTCTTGAGATAGCGAAGAACTCTCTTAGCAGCGTTCCACTGAGCTTTGCCGCTGCAATTGTATTGACATAGGCGATTAACTGCGAAACAGATGTCCGGTCTTGTGGCCAGTGCGAGGTAATTAAGAGCTCCAATCAGCTCCCGATAAGGTAGACGAGATTCCTCTTCTGTTTGCGGACCAATTGGCTTCATTAGCTTTACGTTTAAGTCGACTGGAGTGCTGACTGTTTCCGTCGTCATCATGTCAAATCGATCTAAAATATCATTTATATAACTTCTTTGACTAAAAAAAAATATGATCTGATTTTTGGATTTCATGAATTCTATTTCTTGACAGCACTCGACTTGGCCCAAGTCTTTCATCTCGAATTTGATTGATAGTTTTGTCTTTAGGAGCTTCTATGAGTACTTCTTCAACCGAGTTTGGCCATTTAAGTAGGTTGTAGTAACGTCGAGTTGATGGATCTTCATGTTGAATTGGACCGCGATGGCAGATAATACCATGGCAAATAACTTAACTGATTCTCGAGCCACCGGAGCAAATGTCGTTAAAGTGCACTCTGGTTTTGAGAGAAGCCTTGAGTTACCAATCTAGTTTTCCTTTTACATATCGTTCCATTTGGATTGAATTTATTTCTTAGAATGATTCGATGCTCTCTTTGTGTATTGGTCGATCAACTAGCAGTTACGTGTCGTTCTTGAGGATGGACTTTATTTCGCTCTTCATGGCTTCGAACCATTCTTCAGAGTTAGGTCCCTTCATGGCCAGTTTCATGGGTATTTCAGATAAGAGTTTCTGAAATGTACATTGTTAGCCTCTGTCGGCATTATATTATAAATCTTTCTTCTCCTTCCCGGTCTGCCAGTGCTTTCGAGGCGAAATCTTCTCTTACCTCTCTTCAGCTGTTCTAGATCTGAACCATTATCTTCGGGATGTAGTTCGTCTTCGTCGTTTTCCTCCCCTTGTTCTTCACGTCGATTTTCTTGAGGAATAAAGTCCACTTCTCGGAATTGATCAATGTTCCTTTCCTCCTCGTCACTCGGATCAATGTCACCTGCTCTTTCATCAGTTCTGTCGTCTTCGAAGAATTCGATGTTTCTGACAATCTTAACTTTCCTTCTTTCCGGAATCCATATTCGGTACCCCTTAGATTGCTCGGAGTAACTAACCATTTTGTTCCTTGTAATTTTTCGCATTTTGTTGCATTTTTTAATTATGCACATTTGATGTATTGCATTATTATGCATTTTTGTAACAATATAGTCTTATGCAGTTTCACTTCTATGCAATTATTATGCATTCTCGGTTAGAGACTTTTTATGATTTTGCTTGACTTTTAGTTTTATGAATTTTTGTTTTATTGTTATTTTTGCACATTTTATTGCATATTTGTTGATTGTAATTTTATGCACATTTGAGGCATTGGATATTTATGCAAGTTTGTTGTGATGCAATTTTTATGCAAATTTGATATAATGCACTATAAATACATTTTTGCAACAATTCAGGTTTATTCACGTTCGCCACAATGCAATTCTTATGCACCTTTGTTGAATTGCATTTTAATGCATTCTTGAATCGATGCAGTTTTCTATGATATCACTTCAATTATTATTGTTATTATTATTCAATTTCGGATGGATTCATTTTATTAATTTTCGTGACTTTCAATTTTATGAACTTTGTTGTTTTGTGTGTTGTTGATATTGATGTTTATGTTATTACTCTTGCTGTTGCTGCTGATGTTGTTATAGCTATAGATGTTAGTTAGGTACTGTTGTTTCTGTTTTTTTTGTTGCTGTTAATGTTGCTGTTGTTATATTATTTGTTTTTGTTGATTATTATTTGTTGTTGATTTTGATGTTGGCTGTTGTTTTCTTTAATGTTGCTGCCTTTGCTGTTATTGTTGCTGCTATTGTCGTTGGTGTTGATTTTGGTTTTGTTGTTGCTATAGCTGTTGTTGTTGATGTTGTTGTTGATGTTATTATCGTCGTTGTCGTAGTTGCTGTTTTTATTGTTGTTCATGTTATTGCTATAGTGTTTATGTGTCGTTGTTTCTGTTGCTGTATTTGCTATTGTTGTTAATGTTGGTATTCCTGTCGTTGTCGCGGCTACTGTTGTTGCTGCTGCTGTTATTGTTGAAGTTGTTGTTGCTGTTGCCGTTGTTTTTGTTGTTGTTACTGTTGGTGCGGCTGTTATTGTAGTTATTGTAATTGTTGGTTGTCATTGTTGTGTCGTAGTCTTTGTGTCGTTCTCGTAGTCGTTATCGTTGTAGCTATTGTTGTGTTGCTGTTGATGATGTCGTTGTTGTATTTGCTGTTGTTGTTTTTGATGTTGGTGTTGGGATTGGTTTTGCTGTTGTTGCTTTTACTATTATTGTCGCTGTTGTTGCTGTTGTTGTTTATGTCGTTGTTTTTTGCTGTTGTTGATGGCATAGTTATTGTTGTTGTTATTGTTAATGATGGTATTGGTGTTGGTGTTAGTGTTGCTATTGTTGTTGTTGCTGTTGTTATTGATGTTGTAGCTATTGGTGTTGCTGTTGATGATGTTATTGTTTTTGTTGTTGCTGTTGTTGTAGTTATTTCAAATATTGTTATTGTGGCGTTGTCGTTGTCTTGTTGTTGCTGTTGATGTTGTTCCTGTTGTTGTTGTTGGTGTTGCTGTTGATACTGTTATTGTTGTATTTGCTGTTGTTATTATTATATTTCTTTTGTGTCGTTGTTATTGCTGTTGTTGTAGTTATTGTTGTTTTCGTCGTGTCGTCGTTATTGTCCTTGCTCTTATTGTTGTTGTTATTCATGGTGTTGTTGGTATTGATGTTGCTGTTGTTGTGGCTGTTGTTGTTGATTTTGAAGTTGATGTTGTTGCTGTTGTAGTTGGTTATGTCGTTACTTTTCCTGTTGTTGTTGCTTTTGTTTCTGTTGCTATTATTGTTGATGTTGTTATCGCTGTTGTTGCAGTTGGTATAATTATTGTTGTCATTGTTTTTAATGTCGTTGTTTTGTTGGTTTTGTCGTTATTGATGTTGTTGCGATTGTTGTCGTTATTGTAGTTTTGGTATTGTTACTGTTACTGCTGTTGTTGTTGTTGTTGGAGATGTCATTGCTGTTTTTCTGTTGTTATTGCTGTTTTTCTAGTTTTTTTTGTTGTTGATGTCGTCTTTGTAGCTGCTATTGTCAATATTGTTGTTGATGTTTTTGTTACTGTTGCTGTTGTGCCTGTATTTGTTGTTGTTAATGTTGGTGTTGATTTTGATATTGCTGTTGTTGCTTTTGCTGTTGTCATTGTTGCTGATAATGTTGCAGTTGTTGCGTTGTTGTTGCTGGTGTTGTAGTTATTATTGTTTTAGTTTTTGATGTTGTGTCGTCGTGTCTTTGTTATCGTCGTTGTCCTTGTTGCTGTTATTGTTGTCGTTGTTGTTCATGTTGTTGTTGGAGTTGGTGTTGCTGTTTATGTTGTGGCTGTTGTTATTGCTGTAGGTGTTGTAATTATTGTTTCTATTACTGTGTTGTAATTTTTGTTGTTATTGTTGTTGCTGCTAATATTGCTGTTGTCCTTGCAGTTGCAGTTGTTGTTGCTGTTATTGTTGCTGTTGTTTATATTGTTGTTGTATCTATAGTTGTCGTTGTCGCTGCTGTCGTTGTATTGATGTCGTTGTGTAGTTGCAGTTGTTTTTATCTTTGTTGTCGTTGTCGTTGTTGCCGTTGTTGTTGCTGTTCTTGCATGTTGGTGTTTGTGTTGGTGTTGTTGTTTTTCTGTTGCTGTTGTTGTTGCTGTTGATTTTATTGCTGTTGCTGTTGTTTTCGATGTTGCTGTTGTTGTCGTTGTATGTGATGGCTTTGATGTTATTGCTGTTACTGCTATTTTTGTTGTTGCTGTTGACGTTGCTGTTATTGTAATTATTCTGTTTGTTGTTATTATATGTTGATGTCATTGTCGGTATCGTTGTTGCTACTGATGTCGTTTCTGTCATGTTATTGTTGATGTTGTTGCTGTTGCTATTGTTGCAGTTGCTATAGTTATTGTTGTCGATGTTGTCTTTGTTGTGTCGTTATGTCGTTGTCATTATGTCGTTATCGTCGTTCAAATGGTCGTTAACGTTGCCGTTGCCTCTAACGTTGCAGTTTTCTTTGCGGTTAACGTTGCCGTTTGCTTTGACGTTGCCGTTGCCGTTTACGTTACCGTTGCCATTAACTTTTCTTTACCGTTCTTTTTTACCGTTAACGTTGCTGTTCGTTGTTGTCATTAACGTTGCCGTTGCCGTTGCCGCTAACGTTACGTAACGCTTTACCGACGAGCGGGGGCGCGTCGAAACGAAAGCGGTATCGTGAATCTGCGACCGAGTCTGGTACTCACTGCCTAGCGTATGCGAAGAGGAACAACCGCGTCGTATACTTTGACAGTTTCGGTAATCTTCGATCGCCCAAGGAACTGGTGCGATATTTCGGGAACGGTGCTACGACGATGGAGTACAATCGTACGTCCTATCAGACGTACAATTAGAGCTTCTGCGGACAAATGTGTCTGCGATTTCTACAAACGGTAGACGCGCGTGAATTTAAAAAGTTCGACTAAGTGCTGTAAAATCTCAGTATTAGTCGAACGCTTTTTCTGTTATGTGGCTAACACTTACGCTGAGCGAGAAGAGCATCGTCCTCGCAACAAACTACTTTCTCTCCATAGATTTGAGTGACGGCGATTACGAGCTCGGTCTGGTGATTTTTGAGATTTATCACACGAATGTAAACGAATCGAACAATAAATTTTATTTTGGCAAAGGAAATAACAATTCCCGAGAGTTCATACGAAGTGCGAGACATAAATGAATTTTTGAAACGTACAATTTTACAGAAACGTTCGCACTGCGACGCACTTGAAACCATTGACGTAGTGCGTGGTGACAATAACAACAACAACAACAACAATGACATTGATGACGATAATGGTGAGGGTGGAGAATACCCGATTATGTTCCGCTGAAACTATTATACTAAATGCAAGATTAGATGTGCATACAGAATAAACTTTGACAAGCCCAACAGCATTGGATCGCTGCTGGTATTCTCGTCGAAGCGTATACTGCAACCGCAAAGATGACAACGAATCGGACATGTCGATCAACATAATGAACGTAAACGTTATCCGCGTAGAGTGTAACGTGACCGCGAGTGCGTACAGCAAAAGCGCGCACACGATATACGAATTTTCGCCGAGCGTGCTACCAGGATATAAGATATAGGAAAAGCCAGCGCAGATCATTTACCTGCCGATCATGGCACAAAGCATTACAGATCTAACGATATGCGTCGTCGACCAGAACGGACGATTGTTCGATTTTCGTGGAGAGGAGATCACTGTCAGATTGCACGTGCAACAGCAACAGCGAGCGTAAGATGCTAGTATTGAATGGAGCGCACGCAGAGAGATAACGCATTCTTTACAAGGCTGGTAACATCACCGCTCGATAACGCTCGCTCATCCAACTGCGTCAACAGGAAGAAGCTCAGCGCGTCGAACGTTAAATTTTTATAATCTTTGGGATTCGTGGTGCGCAACTTTTGAGATGATTGATATCTTGAATATTATCGATGAGTCGATCTTTGATGATCGCATCGTCAAGATTGAGACTCACACGTACAACCCATTTGCTAATATAACATTTGGATACAGCGACGAGATAAGAATATCCATACAGCAACAGGATTTGTACACGTTGCCGTGCGAAAGTTTTTTTTCTACGTCGAAGGAAGATTGACGGTGAAAAAGAAAAACGATCAGATACCAACGACGCTTGTAATTGCGTGACGTTCATGTTGAAATGTTTGATGAAATTCGATATGAATTCAATTCGATGTGGAGATTAATCGCAATCGAAATGTGGGCATAACTAGCATGCTCAAGATATATGCTAGGATAAAGCTTTGATTGCGCTGAACGCTGGATGGAACTCTAGATCCGGCATGGAGAAAGAACACTTTAATTTCTGCGTGCCGCTCAGCATGCAGTTGGGTTTTTGTGAAGATTACAAACGCCCACTTACCACGATTTAATTTTGATACGAGCGCGCAACAACAACAATTGCTTGGTGGGAAATCCTGTGATGGAATCTGAGATTCAATTATTTAAAGTACAGTGGCGGATGCCTCACGTTGTGTTAAACGAGGTCAATAAATTATCAATGCTGCGAGCATTGGAAAGCGGTCATTATCTGAGCATGAGTTTTCGCTCGTAGGATCTGTACGAGTATCCTCTGTTACAGAATATGACTAAGCATTCATGGGCTGTCAAAATGGCGACTCAGCTTGAGAAGCCTCGATATGTTATCTTTGCTCTGCAGACCGAGCGAAAGAATATCATGTCACGAGATGTTAGCGTATTCGACGATTGTAATTTGAATAACGTGAAACTTTATCTAAATTTGGCGTTTTATCCGTACGACGATTTAAATCTGGATTTTGACAAAAAGAGATACGCCGTTCTATTTGATATGTATGCACGTTTTCGTAGAGCCTATTATGGAATCGATTGCTTCGAAACGCTACTCAACGTGTTCTCATTTGTCGAGAAAAGGTCTTTTGTGGTCATTGATTGCTCGCGACAAAACGAATCCGTCAACAGTGCCACTGTGGACGTACGCATAGAATTTGACTGCAAGGAAAATGTGCCCGCAAATGCAACAGCCTATTGTCTCATCATACACGATCGTGTAGCTCAGTATAATCCAATGACCAACGTGCGCAAAATCACCTAAATGCATCTCTGACATGATATAAAATCTACGATGTTGCAATCGACGTCGCAGTCTTCTCGGCAACATGCCCATGCCAACGTTTGTGGATCTGCAAGGATTCATCGTTAATAAGAAATTTATCGTGAAGGAAGTGGCGGTACTGAAACAGGGGACCGTTACATTTTACTCATTCATTACATTTTTACGAGTTCCGTGCCATGGAAATTTTTGACAAGATCAGACAGGTCTCCTGGTTGATTGCTTATCACCATCATGGATTGCAATGGGAGGACGGGACGGTCTCATACAACGAGGCGAAACGCCTAATTACGATCGCTCTATTTGAAGATGATGCTGTCGTGTATGTCAAGGGACGAGAAACGAACGTCTGTGGAACTTGTTTCTGGACGATGAGCGAGACTATGTACATCGAGACGTTGGATGCAGTTTACGAAGATATGAAATCTTTACCTAATCTAGATGTTATTAATATTATACGGACAACATGTTAAGAATTGCGCGTTATAAAATGTATTGAAAATGTATAACTGGTAGTTGCAAAAGAATTTTTTAAATAAAAATACGTTAACGTATTTATTATGTATTTCTTTTCCCTTCCTTTGTAATGCATAAATTTGTATGTACGTATGTATAAAACGTATGTATAAGTATGTATGTATTATATAAATACCTATGTATAAATGTGTATACGTAGGTATAAACGTATGTATGTATAAACGTATGTATAAACGTATGTATATATAATATAAACGTATGTACGTATAAACGTATATATAATTTGTTTTTTGACAAAGAAAATACGTAGAAAGACTTGATAAAACGTGTCGCGACATGTTCGAAATTCTTGGAAAGAGGGAGAGGACCTGCATTCTCTCATCGATTCCAAAAGTATTACGTCACAATTTACATGGATGCAAACAGTCTTGATTGAGATATCCCCTTGTATGAATGGCTGAAAAAATGTATTTCGCTAAAGAGAGCAATGCATCGTACGATGTGAAGAAGGAATATAACATGTAAATTTCAACGTTCTATACGCTATATTCACAAAAAAAGAAAGTTTTTTTAACATTATGTATGTATACAATATGTATGGAACATCACGCGATGCGTTTATTGAGCAGACGTTACGATCTGATGAACGTTACGGGCTACAAATTTTTGGAAATTGGAATCAACGTTGGCTCATCGAGTTACGTGGAGGTTGCCCTTGGAGATCATCGCGGACACGAACTATCACTGTCTCTCGAAACGTGGAAGAGCCTCTACGAATAGCGAGGGAATATTTACAAGATGTTTCGAAATACAAGGATAATTTTATAAGCGTTTTTGGACCGCTAACCGTCAGTGTTTGCATGCTGAACGGTGCTACGCTCGTACGTCTCGATTCTTCATCCGAATGCATTACAATGATCGAAATGACGCTACGCCGTATGTTTGACTTTAACGGGTATATCGATAATGTTCGAACGATTAGTTCGACTTGTCGATACGGTAGATACCAAGTATATGCGATTTTCCAACATCACATCTGAGAACATTACATGTGATAGCGACATCTTCAATAGACATCAGCTTGTCGATTGCGAACTATTAACTTTAGTTTTTAATAAGTACGAAAATCAGTGTAAGATATGAATAAAAAGATATGAATAAAAAATTTTTGTTCGCATTATTACGTATGTATTTTCTTTTACTTCCCATCCTTTGTTTCGACGCATCAGGAAAAACTGTATTGAAAAAACTGTGTTATAAAAAAAAAAACTTGCACTCTATTGATTTTTCTATCTTTTCTTCACTCATAGCACGTTATACGCTCCGTCGCGCGCTCTATCTTTCTCTAACATGCAAGCCTTTATTACTGATGCATTTTTGGAGAGAGAGCGGGTGACGACAAAAAATAAGGACCTATGTTTACGTAACATTAATAGCGCCGGGACCTTTTCCACCCACCTACCCCTTCGTTACGAGTATCCCCGCGCCTACGAGTACTCCCCACGCCCCGCGCTTCCCTCTAGCGTCATGGATTAGAACTCGCCTAGTATTACTACTTAAAGACACATGGAATATGTCATTGGATAATCTTTTGACTAAATCAACGTACTAAAAATATGAGTCTGGATCATTAATATCCGTCTATTATTATTTCAAAATTATTCGTCGATGTATATTTAAAAAAATAAGAAAAAAGAACCTATAAACTTACCAACATTTGAAAGTGATTAAGTCTATATTTTGTTGTATCTTATATTCTCTGTTATAAGATTTTCATCAAATTTGAGCGAAATAAACATGATCGATACGTTACACTAAATACAATTTGTAGAAATATTTGTTAAATATCTTTTTTAACAATATTTTATTTCACAAGTGATGCGTACTGACGATTGAAATCGAAAAAAACGAACTCTTTCCTTCAAAATCAATATAAATTTACCTTTGTGTTATTGAGAGACCAGTATAAATATTATCTATTTAGGGTTTGTATTCATGATGTTAGAATATGATTCTAGTTATTTATATTAGAAATTTATGACCTATACCAACTTTAAATTAGTGCTATTGCTTATTAAATCAGTGCTATAAGTTGTGAGTGATTCTAATCGCTACGTGGTCAAATGGAACTTCCTCCTTATCATCGATTAAGATTAATAATTATTCCACACAGGATGCGCTCGTGTTGTTAAATTCTTCAACACGTTGCTGTGCATTTATATACAAGGTGATCCATTTAAATCAATCATCTGAAATATCTCGCTTATTTTTGATGATATAAAAAAATATTTCGAATGGAAGTGGAACTGTTTCGAGAGGAACGTATTTTGATTATATTCTTTTTTCTAGGTGGAGGCGTCAAAAAGATATAAAACTCACCTCCACTTTTTCAAATGGAATTGTATGATTTTTTTTATACAATATATAAATATTTCTCTAATTATTCTATATATAAAGGTATTAAGATAGTAATGTCAAAAAACCAATAATTTACGAGATATTTGACATAAAATGCTAAATAAATTTCTTTCCATCAACTTTCATCTCATTATTCTGTTCATAAAAGTATTAAGGTATGATTATCAAAAAATTACTAGTCTAGAATTATTTAACATTTTATATCAATATGTATCAGAATAAAAGTATAAAATATCTCTTAAACTATTAACATTTTTTTTATATCATTACCTCGATACTTTTATATATGGAATTATAATTATAATTAGAGGAATAATTAAAGGAATCATATTGTGTAAAAAAAATGTCATATAATTCCATTTTAAAAAGTGGAGATGAGCTTCATATCTTTTTGACGTCTCCACCTAGAAAAAAATAACATGACCAAAATGCCTCTCAAAACCATTTC